CCCGAAAACTAACCTTTTAAAGCAATAAATTTATTATTTAGGACGATTAAAAAATATCAAACAAAGTTTTTAGAGGAATCCATCGGATTTAAGATTAGTCTTTTATGCATTCTTCGCGAAATGACATCCTCGACGATTCCCATGCATCATGGAACAATTTCAAAATATTGGCCGAACGGGTTTCCCCAAACCGCCTAAATAGCTGCCTGCTTTTATTTGTGTTTCCAGAATCTGGTGTTGGGTGCACTTCTGCAAGTAGCCCACACCGCATTGATGCATGGGTATACTCATCAGTTTAGATTTACTATTGCTTTTTGTAGTGTGCTTGGATATTTTTTTAATTATGCATTTAACTAACTCGTTTTCTTGATGCAAGGCTCGACACGGTACTTTCCAGGTCCTTTCAAAAGAGGATGACATCAAATTTGCTATTTATGCCAGCTTTCCAAAGACAGTCCGGAGTGAATTAAAAGGTTAGGCAAGGAATATACCCCTTTGGTTGATCTTTTGACTTTGTGTCAATACGCCGTTTTTGAAAACCTTCTTACCCCTTACCTTGAAATACGCATTTGCCTTGCCTCAGAATTTAATGTTTTTATTACCAAATTTAATTCCACTTGCATTCTGATTGGTCTATTTGCCCACATTTTGTAGCTTTCACCAGATGCAGCCTCGAAACCAAGTGTCCATTCCATGATTCCATTTACTAAGACACAAAGGATAGTAATATTAACCCTAATCTTACCCCGCTTATACAATAAATATCCTAGTAAAACCTAAACCCAACCCAAAATTTATTTTTTTGCCTTTTGACAGGATGCTTTTCATCGCATCCCATGTTCTTCTTAGCCAAATATTTTTGTGGAATTATAAATTTTAAGTAATCCAATAAATGGAGTTAGATATCCTCCTTTAAAAGGAGCTTTTCCAAAAAGTTTCGCAGCTATGACTTGCATAACAATGATTGTAAATGAGTAACGTAGAGGCACAACAATCATCTTGCCATTAACCATAGTATTCTTATCAATGATAATTTCTTTAAAAATACTGTATATTCCGTGGAATAATATGAAAGCTTGTTGCAAAAAATAGTTGATTGCAAAATAGACCGTATAGGACATAAAGAAGGCCCTTAGAACCGAAAGCTTATCATAATCTTTAACTTCAAACGGAGAAATGTACATTTTTATCCCACTGAAAAAAATTAAATTCAACAGTAAATTTTACCTGCACTATTTTTTTGGAATGCTTGGGAGTGAAGAGGAAGATAAACTTGAACTACTAAGAAGTCAATGATTGCCCAAAATAATCAAGCCATCGAAAAATATACAAAAATGGGTTAAGAAGAGCTCAACACGATTCAATAGCTCGGGCAGCTTTATTAATTCTATCAGATCTACCAGATGAAATATTTCGGAAAATTCTATC